GCTCAAAAAACTTTTTTTTTTTTTTTTTTTTTACAGAAGAATTGATTTTATAACCATAAACCCTCTGGAATGTCCCATAGACTTCCATTGTATTGTAAGTGCATTACTGTAAACACAATTTCAGCTCGTTTTTTACATTTTCTGCCATAAAATCAACAGCAGATGCTGTCCATAGAGAAAGCACTAACATATTATAATTTGAGCTGTGTACTTCACTGCAGTTAGAATATTCATGAGCTCTTTCCAAGGGCCTCTCACTAGTTTAGTTTTCTGTGTATTGTGAACATCTTGTAAAGGTTCTTTAACTCTGGGATTAAAGCCAAACATGTGAATGGGATCAGCAGCATCCGAAAACAACAAAACCCTCATTCAGAGCTGTTCCTACAGCAATCACACAGACTGACCGACCATTCAATATGGGGCAAACGGGACAGAAGTTCTTAGGTTTGTGTGTTGAATCTTAAGGATACAGAAGACTGTTGTTTAAGATCCTGTTAATCCCAATAAAAACTTCCTAATAGCAACCACTCATCGCAAAACACCACTCACATCTTCATCGGAAAATCAAAAAAATCTACTTTTACACTGTTTATCATTTAAAAGTATATTTGTAGATATGAAAACATACCATTCTCTCCTCTTTTTTTAATGTGTAGAGAATGTTTCGGATTCTGAGGTGATGTCATCGAGCGTGAGCCTGCATCACTCAGTAGTGCGCTGTGAGAGGGGGCGTGTCTATTTAGTGGAGGAGGAGGGGCCAGGGCCTGTCACTGTAGAAATCGAATATTCAAGCTGTTTATTCATTTTTCCACCCATGAACGAAAAACGAACATTTAAGCTGAATTTTCATTTTTTCCTTTTTTGGAAAAAAAATAAAAAGGAGCCGTTTTCTAATTTTTCTACTTTCAATATTAAATCAAAAAACGAATGATCGAATGATACACGGATTCAAACTATATTCTAAATGCTTTTTTCTTCTTTGGGGATATTTTGAGGAATTTCCAAAAAGTGCATGGAAAGTCTTTTGATTTCAAAGCACCATAGTGTTGCGTATGACTATTTTCAGTGAATAAATTACTTAAATGTCTGTTTGTTCCTCACACAGAGCTATTATATGACTCAAGAGCAGTTAGGATAAAGCACAAAAATATTTACTATTTCTACTGTTCTCTTGGCACTTTTTTGTCATTTAAAAAAAAAATCTCTACAGCCTCAGTCCCCATTCACTTAAAATGTGAAAAGAGCAGTGAGCTTAAGTTTTGTGTTCCACTGAAGAAAGAAGTCAAACAGATTTAAAATGACATGAGGGAGAATGAATGAATTATTATTGTCAAACATCTGAACTAAGGTTACTCTGTTGTTTTCTTTCTAGACGACGTCTTTCATCATTTCAAGTTCCTGCTGGAGCTCTTTTCCAATGAGTTTGTTCTTATTCCTGGTCAAGCAGTTCAGGTGAGTCACACTGTTTAAATAACGCTGTTAAACTCATGACATCCATCTAAACATCCGTTTCTCTCTCAGGACTTTGAGGAGGGCTGTTCTTTGCTACAGCAGTCTGGTGTAATCGACCGCTCTGATGAAGAGATCTATGTGAGGGACAATGGCCAGGAAACCATCATCTTCCTCAGAGCGATTCTGCAGCCTTTCATTGAGAGCTACCAGGTGATTGTAGTCATTTACACAGTTGTCCAGGCAGTTCTCCATCTCCATTGGCGAGTAACAATACCTTTAAATACCATAATTAAAGGAATAGTTCACCCCCCAAAAAATTTAAATTAGCTGAAAATGTACTCACCCTCAGGCCATCCAAGATGTAGATTCTTCACTGAAACAGATTTGCAGAAATGTAGCATTACATAACTTGCTCAATGGATCCTCTGCAATGAATGGGTGCCGTCAGAATGAGAGTCCAAACAGCTGATAAAAACATCACAATAATTCACACCACTCCAGTCCATCCGTTAACGCAAGCGAAAAGGCGTTTTTGACTTTAAACCTTCGCTTCTGGCTAAAATAAGAGTTCATAACTCATAATAACGCTTCCTCCTGTGATAAAAGTCCATTCCCTTTTGGACTGTTTTGGATTGTTTTCACTTGTAAACTGGGCTTGATCTGTGCATATTTCTCTCCTGATTCAGACAAGACGACTTTTTCACTGGAGAAAGCGATATTATGGATAGAGGACTCATACTTTATTCACAAGATGTTAACTGATGGACTGGAGTGGTGTGGATTACTTGTGGATTATTGTGATGTTTTTATCAGCTGTTTGGACTCTCATTCTGACGGCACCCATTCACTGCAGAGGATCCACTGCTGAGCAAGTGATGGAATGCTAAATTACTCCAAATCTGATGATGGAGCAAACTCATCTACATCTTGGATCTTGGACTGGGATGAGTAAATTTTTCCTTTTAATATAAATGATGATGATGTGTTTAGGTGCTGTTCAGGTACCTGTGTGAAGAGAGTTCGCAGACATTCAGAGAGAAGATGTTTTCAAACAGCATCCGCAGTTTCATCGTGAAGCTCTTTATTTCAGGTGTGGGTCATTTCCTGTTGAAGATTTCTGGCAATATCTGTGAAATGATCTTGTGAATTATGTAATAGATTAATGCGATCAGATAATGTTATAATGAAAACCGATTATCTTCAACCTGTCTTTTTCTTTCAGGTGAAGTTGAGTCGTATGAGTGTTTATCGTCTGACCTCCAGAAGAACGTTCTCTCAGCTTTGCTCAGGATGGCTGCTGTGACCAAAACTAAAGTGTAAACTATTTCAACACACATCTAAGAAATTAACTTTGAAACTGGAAATGATTTATGAACACAGAAATTAGTTTAATAATAAGACCTCTCTCTGTTTTTCAGTGATGACCAGAATGAGTTTAGAGTGAATAAATCTGCAGTGAAGAGAATATGGGACATGCTGAGTAAGATTATGGATTGATTTTTGTTCTGATCTACAGCCTTCTATTGCGAATTAAAGGGTGTTTCTGCTCTATTGTATAGTGTAATGAGTTGTACTTCCTCTTCTTCATTACAGGCAATGGATGGACCCCTCAGATCAGTGTAGACGCCAGACTGTGATGAGAAGAATCGGACGACAGCGACTCTTGATTCTTTTATCGTAGAATTGCAAATATGTAGAAGTGCTGTATGTGTACAAACCTGCAGTAGCTGCTCTAGATGTAGAGCATCATTATTGCAGTATAGATGATTTAATTTTATAGATCATGTGAAAATCATACAGATTGATAATGGTATTCAACAGCGAAATGTACATTTGAAGATACACTTATCTTTTAAGTATTCTTTTAACATGCAATTTAACACATTTTGATAATCCATTGCATTTATTTTTTTAATGGCACAATTTTAAAACATTTGTATAAAATATCATTGTTAATCAAATCTTGATTACTGTTGTACTGTATATTCCTTTGTTGATGTTTTTTCCCAAGCAGCACAAAGAAGAATGAAATAAAGTCCCATTTAAAAGTGAACAGAAAGGCAGCCACAAATCATGTAGTTAGCAAAACAGATAAAATAGTTTAATAAAAAAAATCTGTCATCACTTATTCCACAGAAATAATCACGTCCCAATGCGCTAATCATACGGTTCTCAAATTCAGCTCAATGATTCAGTGATCTGGTCACAGTGGTTAACGGCTCACTAGCAGGGAAGATTATTATGTCTGTTTTGTAAGTTTTAGTAAGTGCACTATATATTAAATATACTTTTGCGTTAAGTAGGGCCGGCTTTTACTTTATAAAAAAAAACTAATTCTGTATGATTTATAAGCTTTTGTACCCATGGGGACCTCAATTTAGGTCCCCACCGTGACACGAGTCCCCATGAGTGTGCATTCAGGTTCAAGTCCCCACCAGGATATATAAACCTGTACACACGCTCACACGTTAGGTTTCTGTGAATTGTGGGGACTTTCCATAGACTTCTATTACTTTTATACTGACCAAACGATATTTTCTATCCCCTAACCCTACCCCTTACAGAAAACCCGTTTGCATTGTTACACGCAGGCCAGTCCCCACAATGTCAAAAATGTCAGGTTTTACTATCCTTGTGGGGACATTTGGTCCCCACAATGTAGCATAAACAAGAACACACACACACACACAAAAGTGCCTAAAAGATGCTTCACTACCATGGTATTTAGAAAATAGCAACAGAGCATTAGTGCTGGTTCTCAAGTTCAGCTCAGTCAGTGAACTCAACTCCAGGTGATCAATGTAGACATACAAAGCCCTTATGGCGTCAGAAGCTGCTTTTATGGTGCTTTTGTGTTTATGAAAAGTTCAGATAGTAAACCGACAGAATAAATGCAGAATCGCAATTGTGAGACAAAGCTTAAAAACAAATGAGTCACATTTAATAGCAACTGTGAATACCGTGAGATAAGTGCAGTGAGAAATAGTCTCAATTGTGAGAAATATGACAATGTAGCATTGCGTTTCTTTGAGGCAGATCTACCAATATCTGTCATACTATTTAAAGGGGTCATATAATGCTACATGCACTTTTACAAGTTGTTTGAACTGAAATGTGTGTTGGCAGACTTTTCATTAAGACCCTAAAGAATCATATCAACTTGTGGAAAATGGGCATCCTATGACCCCTTTAAATAGAGTAAATAGTCTAAAAATGACCAAAATAACCAACAAAATTCACATTTTGAAGGATGATCGTGATCAGGGGTGGCGCCAGAGAATTTTGAACGCAGGTGCTGAGGGGGTGCTAGAATGGAAACGAAAGTAGTTAACATTCAACCCGTTCTTTTTCATCAGTAGTATTATTTGTGATTTGAATTTTGTGAACTGGGAGTTCCACTTTTGCTATGTTATAAGCCGGACTTCGGACGCTTTCACTTTCGATTTCGCGATCTTGTCACGTTTTACAATAAAAGATAGCCTAACAGTCGGTTATGCTTACACCTTTCACTTTTTAAGACTAAAACAAAAGATGGATTCATTGTTGGTCCGAGCTGATAAGCAGCTCAAATGAGAAGCGCTGTTTTGTTACACTTTTGTTTCGTTTGCCGTTAGAAGTTTCTCATATGCAACAGAAATAGCAGCGCTTATGAGTTGAACAACGCGGTGGTCGCGCCAGTGCGACCGCTTACAAAATTTAGTCACACAGGCAGAAAAAATGGTTGCAGTCTGGAGTCATGGCACACACCACATGCTACCAACTAATAAATTACAGAACGTTTAGCAAACACTGAGGAATCAAATAAAAATAAATAAATAAAAGAGAGCCTACATAGCATAACATGAGGAAAACAGCAAAGATAAGCTTTCCAAAATGAAAACAAAAAGAAAAGTAAAACTAAACTTGCTGCCGGTGACAGTGCTTTGGTATAAACCAGGCTCTACACTCTAAGCCAGGGGTGCCCAAACTCGGTCCTGGAGGGCCGGTGTCCTGCAGAGTTTAGCTCCAACTTG